TAAAAATGAAATGTCTGATGAAGATTACACTCTATCTATCCTGTCCTACTTTACTTACCAGGTTTTTTTCCTTTAATTAACTGTATAATTATGGGACCACCAGACTCTTAAGGGTACACACAGGTACCTTAAGAAATGGGAGGTAATGAGCTTGAACTTTAAAAAAACATAGCAATAAACAAATCAATTTTATAAAATAAAAATGTTAAAAGCTTTTAAACAATTATTTTATTACATGGTTACCTATTTAGTGACTGTAATTCGGGCATGAGGTAACGAGCATGAATGTGAAGATGGCATTCTAGCAAGCCTCTTCGGACTCCTCATGGGTCCCCTCAGTTTGGTCCAGCGCCATGATCTAAGTACAAATAAAACAATGGTCATTACAAGACTGTAATAATGTTGGAAAAACTACGAACAATATGTTTGTAGAGACACAAGTACAACAATGTGACATTTTACTTGTGGCAATAACGCTTGACAAAAGTTCCTGAGAGCGTAACGTTTGCCACAATAAAATGTCACATAATTCAACTTGTGTCCTTTTATCTAACAGAATACAAGACTGGTAAAAATGGAAAGGGCTTGCATGGCCAAAAAATTCATTGCAATAAGGGTATAGGGTAAGGATTCAAGATAATGCAACAAATTATGAAAACTAAATTATTTTTATACCAATCAGCTATTCCAACTAATGTAGACTGACCCAAAGAATGAAATACATTAACCTTATTAATTCAAAAGCTACCTTGCCACTTATGTGATTAAAGAATTCAAAATAAACATCGTAAAACTTGAAGCCATTCTGTGACTTGCTTTATAACAGTGGAAACCTCGGTAATCGAACAGCTCTGTACTCGAACAATTTGGTAATTCAATTCTTTGTTCGGTTAAACAAATCCACTCGGTAGTCGTTTGTTTTGCTTTGGCACCGACCAACAAACATGACCTGCCAAACTTCACTGTAAACTATTTTCATGTTTTCTTCTCATTTTTTTTTTTAATTTATTTTTATAAATGAGAAGTCACCATGGGCCAAGAGGGTTATGATAACAGCCCACCAAAACAGAAAATTTTTTGGAAAAATTCGTCCGTTACTCAAACAGCCATCTGGACAATAAAGTTCAAGTGCCGAGGTTCTAATTCTACCGTACTGCATACATCTTTTACTGTGGTACTAAATGGATTGTTTTGAAAGCACAAAATTTATTACTAAGACTTGGATAAGAAACTGGGAACATCCATGTAGCTCTTTCAATGAGTCAGAAACTTCATAAGACCCCTCCATCGTGATCAGATGGACGTGTCGACACTGTGAGTGCTTAATTCCTCTAAGAGACAATTTTCCGCTCTAACATTTGACGATCAACCACCGTTCGGGAGAGACGACTACATTCTCTTGCTACAGCTTCAAAAAATATGTGTATTCTTCGTTAGTAGTCTGGAAAACAGGTGAGAGATATTCCATTTCAAACTTCTTCATATTTCAAACACTAAAACATGAAATTTCCCCTTACTGTAAATGCTGTACAATATATAGCACAAAGCATACTGCTGCTGGAGAACATGCAACATAGAAATCTTTGAGATGTAAAAATGTATTTCAACAAACTTGGCAAAATATTCTAATTATTTTATTAGCTGCATCTTTATCTACTAAACATTAATTAACACAACATATTTACAAAAGTCCTAGCAACACGCCCAGGGAGGTACTACCGTCCAGCCAATGAGTGTAAAACGGAAAACCTGTAATTGGTTTTACATGATGGTAGATTGCTGTGCTACATTTTCTGTCTCATAAACATGCAGATTTCAGGTACTCTTGCTACTCTACTTACACTTAGGTTCACACTACATATAACATGTACAAGGATATGTATACACATACCTCCCCTCTGGGTTTTCTTCTATTTCTGTTCTAGTTCTTGTTCTTGGTTTATTTCCTCTTATCCTCTCCATGGGGAAGAGGAAACAGAATTCATTACTTCCGTAAGCCATGCGTGTTGTTAAGAGGCTACTAAAATCTGGGAGCAAGGGGCTAATAATCCCTTCTCCTGTAAAAATTACTAACATTTAAAAGAGAAACTTTTGTTTTTTCTTTTTGGGTGGGGGGCCACCCTGCCTTGGTGGGATATGGCCGTTTTTTGTTGACAGAAAGAAAAAAAGATTTTACAGAAAGTCCTAGTCAAACCGCCCGAGGAGGTACACTGTCCTGCCAAGGTGAGTGAGAAACGGAAACCTTAATTGTTTTACCATGATGGTAGGATTGCTGGTGTCTTTTCTGTCTCATAAACAAGCAAGATTCAGGTAAGTCTTGCTACTTCTTGCTTACACTTAGGTCACACTACACATACATGTGTCAAAGCGTATATATAACACACCCCTCTGGGTTTTATTCTATTTCACTTTTCTAGTTCTTGTTATTTCCTTTATCACCATGGAAGTCCGAACAGAATTTTTCCGTCTGTAAAGCCCATGCGTGTATGTAAGAGGCGACAAAATTGCCAGAGCAAGGGCCTAGTAACCCCTTCTCCTGAACAAATTACTAAATTTTAAAAAAAGAGAAAACTTTCGTTTTTTTCTTTTTTGGCTGCCCTGCCTTGGTGGGATACGGTCGGTTTGTTGAAAAATAAAAAAAAATTACAAAGTTGCATACCAAGGAGTGTCATTCAGCACTACTACAGTAAATAGCATTCTTAACCTAGGGAATGAGGAAGACTTGAACCCACAGCAAGCCTGTCCTAAACTACATATTGACTGCTAGATTAAGGAATGACTTGCCCATTCCCTCAGCTAATTTACAATTTGTGAATTTAACAATTTTCGAGTTAATAGCATACCTCAAGCCGGTGCATTTGAAAGACAAATGAAGTCAAATTTATTCACACAATAAAATACCAGTATGTTAAACACTGTATTTATGTATAATGCATAGAAATTTTAGTTTATAAAACTTCTGTGAGGTTTCATAGGTTTGTACAGCATTTTGGCAAATTCCTAAGTTAGTATATAAAACTATGATTAATTCAAGATCACCTGTATAACATTTATCTGAGAACTTTCAATTAATAAGGTACAACAAAAACTTGTAGTAAGGAAAGTGCAAAAAAAAAATCAACTCTGAAATTGCAATGTTAGTTCATTCTCTAACAAAGCATTTCTAATTATGCAAATTTAAAAAAAAAAAGTTACAACTGCAAACCATTATCTCTGTTTTATTGCACAGCGGTCCGTACAACAAGGATAGCAATCTTGAGGATTCCTCTTGCCCTCTGCTTCTTTTTCCCTCACTGACAACACTTCCATTCCTTCATGGCCCCATGGGGAGGTATACCTGAAAATTAAGATTTACTGATGCGAAAGAGCCATCACTTGCAATATTCCAGTTTCAGTCAGAATGTTGTTTCAAAACAATTCTAAAAACACTGAGTAATATCTGACATAAAAAGAACAATCCATTAGCATTGCTAATTTCTTGAAATATAATTTTGTTTAAGCAAAGACACACAAGGATTATGACTAATACCCAACAAAAAAGCTAAACAATATTTCATAATATAATTCTTTTTTTTTTTTTTTTAAACAAAGTCGGCCATCTCCCACGAGGCAGGGTGACCCAAAAAGAAAGAAAAACCCCAAAAACAAAATACTTCCTTTATCATCATCAACACTTTCCCACACTCCCACACAAATCAAACTGTTTTTTGCAGACACATGGTGCGGTCAAGAGGAACAGTATCAACAGTTTAGGAGTATGCATATACGGGGGATATGCAGCTGCTGGATACACAACAATCCTCCAAACTGCCAATATCCCAACCCCTCCTTTAAAGTGTAGGCATTGTACTTACCCATTTCCATTTCATTGGTTACTTAAATAATTATAAATTTACATAATCTTAAGAGATTAATTATACAGTTATATTTACCTCAGGGGTGGCAGAACTTGAATGGAACCTTCTTCTAGTATCTGCTAGACTGTCTCGCAGATTGTGATGGCGGATTCATCTAATTTGTTCTCTTTTGGTAGCGGAGCTCGTGTACGAAGATTTCCCACTTTGTATAACAACTGAAATGAGAAAAAAATGTTGATAAACTGAAGTGACTTTCTAAATCAACAGGTGGTGAAGGCAGGTATTATAGGCAGTGGAAATTGTTGCAGTGCAACATTTCCCTGCAGAACATATGGAACTGTGTTACCATTGGGCTCCAAACACAAGTGCCAGGTGGAAAAAATGGCATCCTAACATTAATGTTGTGAATAAGCATTCAATCTGTACAATGCCAATGTTGTTGACTACTTTACAAATATTTTTGAAAAGTCTCCAAAATAGACAACATTGGACAGCTTCTTTACAAAGAAAAAAAATAAAGTGCTAGTGAATCCCCATCATCTTCAAGTTCTACGGCACAGAGACAAAAAAAGAGAAAATCACCAGATGGGCAGTTACCTGATGTTTCTATGGAAAGGTGACAACCTTTCCAAACAATATCAACTCCCCCCTCCACTTCCTCTTAGGGCAATCAGCACTTCCTCAGTAAGTGGCAGTTAAATTTTCATTTTTTCATGTATTTAATGGTTTTTTATAGTTTCCATGAATAATTTCATGAATGTAAATATTATTAGAACAGGTTTTTATAATTGGTAATTTTTTGGGGTCTGGAATGGATAATCCAATGTACATTATTTTTCTCAATGGGAAAAATTGATTCAGTATTCAATATCGAACAGCTTCCTAGAATGATTTAAAGTTTGAATATTGAGGTACCATTTATTATTATCCTGGTCTCTCTTATGTTACAACATGGGTGTCTGTGGGAAACAAATTCGCTAACATAGTCATCATTTAAGAACCTTTTGTCCAATATCTACCTGCATCATTGAGCAGGGGTCAACCATGCAATGTTCTTTTAGATTTTGTAAACAAAATTAACAACACTGTTTTACCACTGATTCACCTGAGGGTTGCTTTCGGAAGTGTAAAAGAAATAATTGCTTTGCACTTTTATGGTGGGAGGCTAAAGCTTGAGCAGCACGAATGCGTGTGTGAATGTGAGTTTCTGGGCGATGTTTACTAATTCCAGCCAAATGATTGAGATGCATCCGTAGGATATCTTGGCAGCCCCATACCAAACGCTCCAGCCACATTTTCTCTCCAATAACCTGTTGAACAAAAGAATGCCGTTTCAGTTTGTAACCCATTTAAATACAGTTACTGTAACAGTAAACAGTGTCTGAGAATCTAAAGCTGAATATAATCATGAAATCTAATTGAAAAACCCACGAGCAGGCAACAACAAACAAGTGACAGCAAACGAATACACTAGAGTAATGACCTAGAGTAAACTGACTGTACAAGAACACAAAATGACAAAGACCAGAGACTGATCTTACCTTCCAGAGGTGTCTCCATCTGTTCATATGACAAGGTGCTTTTGAATATCTATACCAAGAGAAATGCCTCACTGTGGCCACTAAAGGTTGACAGCATGAAGACCAGGTTAGGTTCCTTAGCTTGAGGTCCTTTCTTAAGGGGTTTTTACCTCTTAATGAAAATAAAAGTTGACTACTGCCCTTTTTCTGCACTCCTCTCCAATTTTATCTTAGTCTTTCACATGTAATTTAGGACCAAAATTGAACACATCTCAAAGTACAGACTGATCAAGTGCATCAGTGTTTTCAATAAGTTTCACTGGGGAGAAATTTGTTACATATCTGAAGCTCACCAAACTAGAATACTCTCAAAAAAGAATAATTATTTCTTCTTCTTCTTTCCAATGTACCAGCTGTATCCCACTGAGGCAGGGTGGCCCAAAAAGAAAAACAAAAGTTTCTTAATTTAAGTTAGTAATGTAACACAGGAAAGGGGTTACTAGCCTTGCACCCAGCATTTATTCAACCTCTTCTGACACGCAGGAGAATAATTATTTTCATTATCAATAATAGCATTTATTTTAAATTATGTTATCTCCACAAACACAAAGCAAAAATTAACAATGAAGGTTTTTTCATTACAGATATATCCAGATGAACAAATTGAGTCTGTGACTGGTTTGAGGGTTTTTCTAACATTTTGAACCTGGCCTGAGTCAGAGTTCCAGAATAAGTGCCTGGTTAACAGTCTGCTCTGTGCTCAGGCCTGATGCATGATGGACAACCTTTTTTTTTTTTTTTTTTTTTTTTTTCAACAAGTCGGCCGTACTTCCCACCGAGCAGGGTGACCCAAAAAAGAAAGAAAATCCCCAAAAGAAAATACTTTCATCATCATTCAGAACACTTTCCACCACACTCGCACATTTATCACTGTTTTTGCAGAGGTCTCAGAATACAACATCTAGAAGCCATAAACATATAAAGAAACACAACATATCCCTCCCAATCTGCCAATATCCCAAACCCCTTCCTTTAAAGTGCAGGCATTGTACTTCCCTTCCAGGACCAAGTCCGACTATTATGAAAATAACCGGTTTTTCCACTGAATCCCTTCACTCAATATTACCCTGCTCACACTCCAACAGATCGTCAGGTCCCAATACCATTCGTCTCCCATTCACATCCTATCTAACACGCTCACGCACGCTTGCTGGAAGTCCAGCACCCTTACCCCACAAAACCTCCTTTACCCCCTCTCTCCAACCCTTTCGAGGACACCCCTACCCGCCTTACCTTCCCCTATAGATTTATATGCTTTCCCATGTCCATTCTACTGTGATCCCATTCCTCTCAAAATGACCAAACCACCACAACAACCCCCTCTTCTGCCTCTGACTAAAACTTTTATTACTCCACAACCTTCTCCTAATTTCCCACACTCCGAATTATCTGCATAATATTTACACCACACATTGCCCTTAAACAGGACATCTCCGCTGCCTCCAACGCTTCCTCGCTGCTGCATTACCACCCAAGCATTCACAACACCCTATAAAGAGTGTTGGTACTACTATAACTATTTTCATACATTTCCCTTCTTTGCCTCCATAGATAACTTTTTTGACTCCACATATACCTCAACGCACCTCTCACCTCTTTTTCCCTCATCAATTCTACGATAACCTCATCTTCATAATATTCCATCCGCCGACTACAACTCAACTCCCAAGTATCTGAAAACATTCAACATTCCTTCCATACGTCCTCCTTCCCGCAATTTGATATCCAATTTTTTCTTTATCTAAATCATTTGACAACCCTCATCCCCTACTCTTTTCTATGTTTCACTTTCAACTTTCTACCTTTTACACACATTCCCAAACTCACCACTAACCTTTGCAATTTTTCTTTAGAATCTCCCATAACACAGTATCATCACAAAAAGTAACATGTGTCAATTCCCAATTTTGAATTTGATTCCCCATAAATTTAATCCCCCCTCTCCCAACAGCCCCCTACATTTACTTCCTTTACAACCCCATCTATAAAATATATTAAACAACCATGGTGACATTACACATCCCTGTCTAAGACCTACTTTTTACCGGGAAGTGTCCTCCCTCTCTTCTCACACACCTAACCTGAGCCTCACTATCCTCAAATAAAAAACTCTTTATCAGCATTTAAATAACTTACCACCTATTCCATATACTTGCAACATCTGCCACATGCCCTCTATCCACGTCTATCATATGCCTTTTGCTAAATCCATAAATGCAATAAAAACCTTCCCTATCTTTATCTAAATACTGATCACATATATGCTACAATGTAAACACCTGATCTAACAACATCCCCTAAACCCACTCTAAAACCTCCTGCACATCCGCCAATCCAACATTCCTGTCTTACCTCTAATTCTTTCAATTATAACCCTACCCGTACACTTTTTCCTGGTATACTCAGTAAGGCTTATTCCTCTATAATTTTTTACAGTCTCTTTTGTCCCCTTTCCCTTTATATAAAGGGACTATAACATGCTCTCTGCCATCCCTAGGTACACTTCCCCTCTTTCATACATTTATTAAACAAAAGTACCAACCACTCCAACACTATATCCCCCCCTGCTTTTAACATTTTCTGTCCATGGATCCCATCAGTTTTTTCCAAGCTGCTTTACTAACCCCCCTTTCATTTTACGTAATGCTCACGTACCTCACCCCACACTTACATTTCTGCTCTTCTTCACTCCTTAAAAGATGGTAACCTCCCTGACCAGTGCATGAAAATTGCTGCCTCTGTTTCTTCCTAACATTAAAAGTTCCTAAAATTATTCTCGCCATCTTCCCCAATACCTCATCTCCTCCATCTACTAACCCCCTACTCTGTTTTTAACTGACAAATCCATATTTTTCCCCTAGGCTTTCTTAACTGTTTAACTCACACTCCAAAATTTTTTCTTATTTCATTAAAATTTTCTTGACAGTGCCTTCCCACTCCATCACTGCATCTCCTTTTGCACTCTCTCAACCATTCTCTTTAAACCTTTCTTTTACTCTCCATATACTCTGCTCTTCTATAACACTTTGCTTTGAAAAACCTCTCATAAGCTACCTTTTTCTCTTTATTCACACCCTTACTTCAATCATTTCCACCAATCACTCCTCTTTCCTCCTCCTGCCCCCACCCTCCTAAACCACAAACTTCTGCCCCATCATTCTAATACTTGCATTTTTTGAAAACTATTCCCACCCTCTCAACCCCCCCACTACTCAATCTTGCACTAGCCCACCTTTCTGCCAATAGTCCGTTGGATATCTCTACCCCGTACTTCCTCCTCCTTAGTATTTATACACTTTTCACCCCTCTTACTTGTAGTTGCCACCTTTCCCTCTTTTACCATCTACCTCTTACTCTAACTGTAGCTACAACTAAATAATGATCCGATATATCAGTTGCCCCTCTTATAAAGCATGTACATCCCTGGAGCCTACTCATCAACCTTTTATCCACCAATACATAATCTAATAAACTACTTTCAATTACGTGCTACATTATATACCTTGTATATTTATTTATCCTCTTTTTTCCAAAAATATGTTTACTTATTACAAATTTCTTTCTACACATAGCTCAATTAAAGGCACCCCCATTTACTTTACCCCTGGCACCGCCAAATTTACCTACTAACTCCCTCCATAACATTTTTTACCACTTTAGCATTAAAATCCCCAACCACCATTACTCTCACAGACACTTGATTCAAACTCCCCACGACATTCCCTCAACATTTCCCAAAATCCCTCTCTCTCCTCTACACTTCTCTCTTCTCCAGGTGCAATACAACGCTTATTATAACCCACTTTTCACATCCAATCTTTATTTTACTCCACATAATCCTTGAATATTAATAACATTTATAGTCCCTCTTTTCCCAGCATAGCTTATCCTTCAACATTTATGCTACCTCTCTACCTTCTTTAGCTCTAACATCTATTTGAAACCCTGACCTAATCCCATTATTCCTTCCACTGAAACTTCTCCCACCCCCTTCAGCTTTGTTTCACTTAAAGCCCCCCCCAAAGGGTGAAACCAATCCAGCTTTCGTTGCTTCATTCATAACAACACAATCAACTTCTTTCTTATCATCGCACAACATCCACGAACATTCAATTTCCCGACTTGTGGACATAATTTTCTTCTCTATTCCCTTTTTAGAAATCATTACAAGAAAAGGGGTTACTAGCCCATTGTTCCCGGCCAAAAAAATTTTTTTTTTTAAGTTGACTTTTACAACAACCATGGCTTACGGAGGAAAGATTCTTATTTCCAACTTCCCCATGGATATATAAGGAAAATTAATAAGACCAAGAACTATTAAGATAAAATCAAAGAAAACTCAGAATGTGTATAAATAAATGTGTACATGAATGTGTAGTGTGACCTCAAGTTAAGTAGAAGTAGCCAAGACATGCCTGTAATCTTGCATATTTATGAGACAGACAAAAGACATCAGCAATCCTACCATCATGTAAAACAATCACAGGCTTCGTTTTACACTCACTTGGCAGAACGGTAAAGTACCTCCCTGGGTGGTTTGCGTCTACCAACTCCTACACCACCTATTGTAGGAAATTCATCAATTCTTCTTTCAACAAACTGGCCGTATCCCACCGAAGCAGGGTGGCCCAAGAAAAAACAAAAAAGTTCCACTTTTTAACTTTAGTAATGTATACAGGAGAAGGGGTTACTAGCCCCTTGCTCCCGGCAGTTTAGTCACCTCTTATGAC